GAAGGAAAGAAAGAAAGGGAGGAAAGAAAAAAGGAAAGAAAGAAGAAAGGAAAGAAAGAAAGAAGGAAGGGAGGGAGGAAAGAAGGACAGAAAGAAAGAAAGAAAGAAAGAAGGAAGGAAAGAAGGCAGGAAAGAAGGAAAAAAGGAAGGAAAGAAGGAAAGAAAGAAAAAAGAAGGAAGGAAAGAAGGAAGGAAGGAAAGAAGGAAAGAAAGAAAGGGAGGAAAGAAAAAAGGAAAGAAAGAAGAAAGGAAAGAAAGAAAGAAGGAAGGGAGGGAGGGAGGAAAGAAGGACAGAAAGAAAGAAAGAAAGAAAGAAGGAAGGAAAGAAGGCAGGAAAGAAGGAAAAAAGGAAGGAAAGAAGGAAAGAAAGAAAAAAGAAGGAAGGAAGGAAAGAAGGAAGGAAAGAAGGAAAGAAAGAAAGGGAGGAAAGAAAAAAGGAAAGAAAGAAGAAAGGAAAGAAAGAAAGAAGGGAGGGAGGAAAGAAGGACAGAAAGAAAGAAAGAAGAAAGCAAGAAAAGGAGGCAGGAAAGAAGGAAAAAAGAAGGAAAGAAGGAAAGAAAGAAAAAAGAAGGAAGGAAAGAAGGAAGGAAGGAAGGAAAGAAGGAAAGAAAGGAAGGAAGGGAGGAAAGAAAGAAGAAAGGAAAGAAAAGAAGGGTGGGAGGAAAGAATGAAAGAAAGAAGGAAGGGAGTACAGAAAGAAGGAAAGAAAAAAAGAAGAAAAGGAAGGAAAGAAGGAAAAAAGAAGGAAGGAAGAAGGAAAGAAAGAAAAAAAGAAGGAAGGAAGGAAAGTAGAGAAGAAAGGAAAGAAGGAAAGAAAGAAAGGAAGGAAAGAAGGACAGAAGGAAGGAAAGAAAGAAGGAAGGAAAGAAGGAAGAAAGGACAGAAAGAAAGAAAGAAGGAAGGAAGGAAGGAAGGAAGGAAGGAAGGAAGGAAGGAAGAAAGGACAGAAATAAAGAAAGAAGGAAAGAAGGAAAGAAGGAAGGAAAGAAGGAAGAAAGGAAAGAAGGAAGAAAGGACAGAAAGAAAGAAAGAAGGAAGGAAGAAAGGGCAGAAAGAAAGAAAGAAGGAAAGATGGAAGAAAAGAAGGAAGAAAGGAAGGAAGGAAGGAAGGAAGGAAGGAAGGAAGGAAGGAAGGAAGGAAGGAAGGAAAAGGGAGAAGAGGACGTGATGTACCTTCTTTTGCTAGGTATAACTCCCATCTCTTCACTGTCGCCTTCCAGCATGACCCTCCTTGCTTGCCACCACTCGTCATCGGAGGCGTTGATAACGTGGAGAATATCTCCATACTTGAAGCTGAGTCCTTGGCTGGGGAGGCCACTGTCCTTGCTTTTGTCATAGTCGAACATGGCTCTGTTGGAAGACAAGACACCAAGGACGGCTTGATTAAACCCAACCAGGACAGCACTCGGCAATCATCAGAGAGGAACACCTGGAGATCAAAATTCAAGTACAGGCCATCTTTGACTTACAACTGCTTGAGCAGGGGGCTGGACTAGAAGATCTCCCAGGTCCCTTCCAGCTCTATTCTGATTGACTGAACCACAACGGAGCCCCAAATTTCCATTGCTAAAAGCGAGGCAGTTGTGAAGGGAGCTTTGCCCCATTTTTGCCACAGTTGTTTAGTAAATCGCCACAGTCATTAAGTAAATCGCTACAGTCGTTAAGTATATCACGCCATCATTAAGCGAATCTGGCTTCCCCCATTAACTTTGCTTGTGGAAGGTCTGGCTGGGAAGGTCAGAAACGGTGATCACGTGACCCCCCCCAAGACCATGCAACCATCATCATCATACGTACATGCCAGTTGCCAAGCATTCACATTTTCATCACCTGCTCAATGGTCATTAAGAGGGAAAATCACTCATAAATCACTTTTTCAGTGCAGTTAAAACTTCATATGAGGGAAAGGAGAGGAGGAAGGAAGGAAGGAGAGAAGAAAGAGAAGAAAGGGGGGTAGGAAGGAGGGAGGGAAGGAGGGA